GAGCCAGTTTCTGCCATTGTTTTCTCTTTGAACCTGCTGCAAGGAGCTGACTTGGACAAAAGACAAGTGTTCTAATTCCTCTTCTGTAGCTTGCAAAGTGTGATTAAAGAAGGTGGGCTAGGATGGCCTCTAGGGAAATCAATGTGCTTTTTGTGTCTCTAGCCCAGCGAGTGGCCTGATGCCCTTTTTAGCACAGTGAGCTAAGCTTCGAGGTACCTGCACTGAAATGCTGCATGTTCTGAAAAAGAATATCCCTTGGGGTGGTGAGGGGGGACCTGTGACACTGACTGGTGCTGGGTGATAGGATTAGCAAATTAAAGCTGGTTTTCATCAGAACAGTGTGGGTTGACAGGGCTCAGCGGTGGATTACTGTCACAGCTGCTCCAAGCTGCACACCAGGAATTTGGGGCGGCCAAACAAGCCAAGCTCTGAAACTCTGCTGTTTTTGTCTCTTTTTTGGCTTGTAGCAGGGACTGAGCCAGGGGATAAGAGTGTAGGAGTTGCAGAAATTCATGTGAGTGGATATTCCCTGGCATGAGTAATTTGTTGGAAGGGGTAGACTCATGTTTGCTTTTTGTCAAACTCACATTGGCCAGGCCAGAAATAGCATCTTTTTTCTCTTTAAGCCCATTTTTCCATATCCTTCTGGCTGAAGGGAAGGGTGCACAAGTGACACATCTATAACAATACAGTAAATCCAGGCAGAAATAGAATAAGCAGTTCTTTCTGGTTCCGGTTTCTATGTTTGTCCAGGACTTAACCAGTTTGGATTGCTCAGAATAGAGCCGTGTCTGCACTAACCTGTTGTGCCTTGGGACCAAGGGCTTGGGTTTTGTTCCAGAGTAATACCATAAAACTTTTATAGCAAAGTCATGATGAAGAGCATGAGAAGTTGTTTAACCCTCTCTTACTGAAGTTAGTACTGCAATATTTCTTCTCTCGTTTCCACACGCAGCAAACCTCTCAGCTGAAACAGGAGCACTGCGTGCAGCGAAATGTGGGATTCATGGAGCTGGGGAAGAAACAGCAAGGGGAAATTTGTCTCTGTGAGGACTGCAATTTCTCTGATGTACTGAAAGTCTAGTCCTGTCCCAGTAGGCCCTTGCAAACATGGGTAGCATTTGTTGGCCCTGGCGTACTGCATTGTGTCTAGCCTTTGCAGAATTGGGCTCTTAATCTATGTTGATTATATTTTAATTGAATAATAAATCTTTTAGAGATCCCAGAATCAATAGAGATATTTCCATGCTTTTTAAAAATTATTTTTAATTTTATTTTTTTAGGTTTCTTAAGGACGTTAAACTTTTACAACCTTCCAACTTGTTCCGCAGCATTTGTGAGTCAGTGCATTCTGTTCTGGCGAGTGAGAACCTGGGAATAATGCGGTGTGGAAATGCAAAGAAACTGAAATGAATTTGCCCCATCTTCTTATGTACCACTGTCCTGTCCTCTTCAGGGTCAGCCCAACCCCGCATGGAGGCTACCAAAGCCTCAGATTAATGGTCTCTAGTTTTTTTCCTGGCTCTGCCAGTGGCTTTTTGCACAATTTATTTCACTTGTTGGGGCCTTGAGTGACTTCCACATCTCTCTGGACTTCCAGGCTGGGTTTTGACTGCTTTGCTTAAATATTTATAGGAGTGGAGAGATCTGTTTTGTGGTGGTGAAGTGCCTTCATTGAAGTTATTGTAGGCCCATAATTGGAGAATGAAGAAAAAAAGACAAGTGAAATGGAAATTGGACATTTTCAGGTTAAAAACTACAGATACCAGCACCTATTTGGGAATAGTGATTGGTGGTGATTCTTGTGAAAGGTATTTTTTTTTCCCTGAAAAATAGTTTGGGTGGGAAGTTTTTGATTGGCTCTACAATAAAAATAGGCAAAAAAAGTTGGAATTGTAAGTAGTTTCCAACCTGACTCTAAGCCCTATAGATGATGTGTTCTTGCATAAAGCATAGTGGAGATTCCACTTTTGTGTTAGTCAAGCCAAATTTATTGTAATCCAATAAGAGTTAGTAATCATTAGGAACTAATGAATGCCTTAGCATGTATGAGCTTAGCAGCTCAGAGCCTGCCAGCTTTGCATAGGCTTTTTCTCTTTGACCAGCTCACCATTTATGTGTTGGATCGATGACTGGGGAATTGGTAAAACAGGTATGATCTAGCACTCCTGAAATGAAACTTAAATAAAAACTATCTGGAGCAGTCAGTGAGCCAAAGGGGAAGACTAATTTTTAGCTTGGGAAACGGAAGTAACGTGGTGAGAGTGAAGGCAAACAGAGCTGGGTTGTCTGTGGGGAAGTGCTGGTGTAGTCTGATGAGGCATTGCAGATGAAATTAGGTGAGTTGGCATAATGCTTCAGTATTCACTTTTATTATTGTAACAGTCGAGTGGAAAGCGAGCTCTTCTGTACTGAGCTCTGCAGGTGCACGTGCACAGAGAGGCTCTGTCTGGGAATCTGCAGATAAGACAGACGGGGAAGGACGCAGGGTAAATGCTAACGATGGCTCCTGTTCAGGAAAGGTTTAAACGTGCAATATTTCACATTGCTCAAGAAGTCCTGCTCTTGAGCCCCCGGCGTGGGTTGGAGCAAGCTGTGTGGCATCTAAGTCACAGCTGTAGTGGGCCATATCAGTGCCCAGATCAGACTTCCCAGCTAGATCGTGTGTTAAAATACAGCTTTTCCAGCTGAGAAGACCGACTGTCCTGCCTTTCACCTCTGCAGAAGACTGCACAAGTTTTCTAATTCTCAAAGTGAACTTAACACAATGGCACCATTGTGGGAAATGCTTAAGAAAATCTCCAAAGCAGCCTGAACCCAAGTGTGATGGAGGCTTTCTGCTTGTGCCTGGTTATAGAGAGAGCTGCAGCATTTCAACATGTTTGTCCTTGCAGATGAGAGAGGTTGCTGGGGAACGAGAGCAGCTCCGTTTGAAGACAGTTGGAAATCACGTGCTAGGCCATATAGGTTGAATAACTGCAGCTCTTTTTCCTTTCTTTTTCTTTCAGGTGAATCCTGGTGGCAAGACCCTCGAGGAGAGACGATCCAGTTTAGATGCAGAAATCGACTCTTTGACCAGCATCCTGGCTGACTTGGAAAGCAGCTCTCCTTACAAGCCTCGGACTCAACAGGTTAGTGGTGCATTGCATCAACAGAGAGCAGGAAGCGGGCCAAAAGCGGCTGCTGGAGTCAATTTGTGAACCGTTTGGTATTTGTTGAGAGCAGGCGTGCCAGTTTGTCCTGATAGCATCCAGATGTGGCTGTCAATGGGGAGGAGACAGCAGCCGCTCCGGAGGGGACACCACTTCAAACGCTGCGGCACCTCTGAGCCAAGGGCCTGGGGTGGCGATTGCTAGATTGCTGTGGAGATTGTTAGAAAAAGATAACTTAAAGGCATTTTTTTCTCCTCAAGTTTCATCAACAGTGGCTCGTGAAATAAAACCTGCTCATTTTGCAAGTACTTCTACTCATTTTCTTTGTTAACTTTTATCTGTCACGCTGCCAGAGCGATCTAGATATCTGCATCTCAAGTTGTTTTCTTTTGTTTTTGTTGTCTAATCAGTGGTGATGAAGTGGCTTGGATCATAGCTCAGCTGTCAGGGTGGTTGGTAACCCAGCAAGGCACATTGGAATTCCCACTTATTCTTCTGTGTCTAGACAAGGACTGCAGGGGTGACAGGAACTCAGCTAATTTTTGTCACTAATGTAGGTAATACTTTAGTAGAGCTATTTAAATTCTGGTAAAGTGTCATCTAGTTACAGTATGAAGCGGTGACACCTCAGTGGCACTTTAAAAAGGGTGATTCATGAGATCTTTACATTCATCCCAAATGTGCTTGTGACAAGTTGTGCAGCTGCTTTGCTTCCCTTTCTCAAGGCTGGTCTCATTTGTTATACGTATATATTTGTAGGAATGCATACAGCTCTGTGCATACGTTGTCTTTGTCTGATTAATATCATCCCTGATTAAACCCTCAAAGGCTAAAAGAATTGGAAAAACAAGTTGACACTGTGTGCACCCATTATCCATACAGGCCATGTCTTTAGTTTTGGGCTTTTTGTTGTTTTTGCTGTTACGTTTGTTTTGAATGGTTAAGAAACAATATTTTTAGAGCAGAACTGAAATAGCCATCAGCGATCATGTACTTCGCTCCTGTTTAAGTATGTGAATTAGCATATTGTTTTTATTGTTGACTGGCAAAAATATTGTTGATTTAGCAAAAAGGAAGCTCAGATCTGTGCACCTTTTGGAAACTCCAGCCCAGGTGTCCATCTGCGAGCAGGGCCTCTGGCATCTTGCCCTGTGCGAATGCCTTGCTTTCTGCAGAAATCCCCTCAATAAACCTCTTTTTCATTCTAGCCGCATGTTCTTGCGTAAACTCACAGTCCTTGTAAACAGGCTGATTTGGATCAGTCAGAAACACAGCAGCAACATAAACTAGATGTGATTTGGTCCTCTTCCCAATGGATTTTTGTTGTTGTTGAAATAAATGAGACAAGTTTTAACAGTGATTGTGCTCAAATACTGTATCAAATAATCTGCATTCATTTTGTTTGTGCAGGCCAAACACAGAAGTGCGCGCTGCTGTTGGGAAAGGCCTTGTAGGGTGAAAACACTAGGAGAGGGTTACCTGGAAGTGATTTGTCCTACCTGTTTTTCCTTGTTGTGCCTGCGCAGTCAGCTACCGTGTCTTAGAGACATGTAACTTCTGAAACCACTTCACCCAGCTGTTGTAATTGCCTGCCACTACTGCTGACTTTCTCCTCATGCTTCCTTCTTTGAGATACCGGGTTGAACAAATAGTGTTGTTTTGTTTTTATTTATTTTTTTCATACCTGCAATATATCTATAAAAGATCACAAAATTCATTTGATAAGATCCGTAGGTTTACTTGTTTTTTGGTAGAATCAGAAATAATATTTTGTTTTGTTTTTTTGCCTGCAGTTCTAAGGTGTGAAGGGGCTACAAAGATTTGTCCCCCCAAGCCCAGGAATGTCTGGGTGAGATTCCCTAGTGTTTGTTACAGTAGCTACATTTGACACTGGGCCAAAAAGACCCCAGAATTTCAAATTTGGGACCAAATGCCCCCTCTCTTCATTCAGTTTGTCAGACTTTTCAGTGTTCATTGGTTAACATACGTATTTCTCATGAAAAGTACAATTACAGCAGCTATTAACTATAGTCGTTAGGAAAAGTAAATGCTGGAGTTGAATGTGTCGTCTGCTGTGATTAAAAAGTACTCAAACAAGTCCTTGAAGGGTGGAACTAGAATGCAAAGCTTTGATATTTTTCTTTGTTTGATCTGTAATAAGTATTAAACCTGATGAGTCATTTGATAGTCTTATAGTAGGATAATAGATTAGGCTGCAAAGTGTGAGGTACTTACTCAGAACATCAGCACATTTATTGGATTACACCTTAGCTGACCTTCCCAAATTTGTCAGCGTAATGGCTGCAGATAGGAAAATAGAGATCCGGCTCGTTTTCGGAGAAGACTTTCCCAGTTGTTCCTATGGATTTTATGCATTATAATAATTTTATTGGCATACCTTGCCCTTGAGGATACACTCATTCTGGAATAAGAGAAATTTTATTGATCTGTTTCTCTTTTTTTATTATTTTATCTTAAAATAGTTTAAAAGCAGCATAAACTAATCTGTAGAATAGTCCTTGCATGCCGGAGGACGTGCTGCACTGAGGCAGACGAGCAGGTCCCTCCTTGGGCCGGTGGCCGTCACCCATAGAGCAGCTCTCTGCTCCGCGTGAGCTCGGGTCCCAGCGAGAGGGGGGCGGCAGAAGCTGGCCCTGGAGCACAGGGACTATTTCCTGGATAGTAGCCTTGGAAAGTCCATAACGCTTTTCTGAATGAGGGATGTTGTCAACCTTTGGTATTTCCTTATTTCCTTGTGACCAACAGACTTGTTACTGAAGACACTGGCGAATGCCCGTTCCGAGACCATCTGGGGTTGGTTACCTGGGCCTTGCTCAGTGTTTTGCCACTATTGCAGGTAAGAGCTGGCGTATGAATATGAAGCAGAGGAGCGTTTCTTGTGTGCCAGACAGGTGGACGTTGCCAGTAGCTAAATTTGGCAACTGCTAATAGGGGGCAAGGAGAGAGTTTTGGCACCTGAGGTTGGTAGCACCCAGGTGGTACCTGGAGTTTCTGCCTCTTTCTTCAGGGCAGGGGTGCGTAGGAGCATCAGTCTATAGTATTGATGCAGTGATCACCCAGGTCCCACCAGACATTGCCTCTTAGGCAGAGGCAGGAGGATGCTTCTGTTCTGCAAAGCTGTGTGCTGCCCTCTGCTCTGAAGCCATGAGGGAAAAAATGCATTTTCTCATCATACATCTTTACCACAGAGTAGAAAAGATCCTTCTTTGCCACAGAGGACGTCAGCCTTGCAGCAACTTTGTCTTAAAGAAGTCCTGCTGTGAGTCTGCATAGCCCTTGACCTCAGCGTGAGTCAGCCCTGAAGCTGAAGCTTCGGTCACTGCAGCTCAGTGAGACGTTCTCTCAGGTTCCTTTGTGCTTGGTTCTTGGTTGGGGCAGTTGTTTGAGCCTCCTCTGCAGGGGAGGCTTTCTAAGCATCGAGAGTTTATTGGCCATCAACAGCACATGGGTGGGAAGCAGTTTTCGGTCATCATCACCTCAGCCCCAAGCTGAGCCCAGGACTTGCAAGTGAAAGTCTCTCTGAGTCACAGAAGTGGCCAAAAGTGATTTAAATACTGGGTTTTTCTTTCAAAATTGTACGCAGCAGAAAACATCACAAGACTAAGTAATCATCGGTGGCTACAACGCAGCAGTGTTTAAGGATGCTTTCTGCTGTGCAGACTGGAAGTGAGAGAGCAGGTTGCACTGATCCTTACGGAGCTGAAGTTTTAGAAAGGACTAAACTGCGGTGGAGCTGTGGAATTTTGTGTGACCATCCTGGAACTGCCAGGTCCAGCCTTGCCCCATGCAGGGGTTGAGCTGGAAAAGGAACATACCAGCATCACTGAGACTGCAATGACATGCAGAGCAGCCTGCCTTAAGCCTTATTTGAGGAACTGCAGATGCATTATGATAAAAATCTAATTAATATTTTTCCCCCATTTGGTAAAATTTGGAGATGTTACTGAGATGTACAAAGTACAGAGGTTCTCTTGGGTACCTGCAATGTGCTCCCTGTATATAATACCATGAAAATTTCAGTAACCTATTGGATATTTGAAAGGTAGAGAACCCTTGTAGTAGTAAAAGGAGATCGTATAGGTTCATAACTTTAATGGATGGGAGCAGGGGCTATAGGAGATGTGCCTGTCCTAGATGAATCCCAAGTAGGGACCTGGGTGGGGGTTGTGGTCGTCTGACTACAAAATTAGAGGATGTTTTCCTCAACTTAGTGTTGTTTGTTGTTCTTGTGGTTTTTTGTTTGCTTTTTTTTTGTTGTTTGTTTTTAATTGTGCTGCTTAAATGTCTGCTTAAGAGATGTGTGCAGCAAGGCCCCAAACAAAAGAAATAAGTCAAACTTCAGCCCTTCAAATTTATTCAGAAAATAAATGTTTATATTAATAATAATAATAAAAAAAGGCAGGAAAAGTTTGTGACTGTGGAGAAAGAGCTTCCAGCAGAGTCTGTGAAAATGAAATACTGGAAATAGCAGCATATGAAAGCTCAGGGCTTTTTGCCCCTGCTGTGAATTATGTACTGAATGCTGATTGCCTTGTTTGGTGTCAGACACCCACCTTCTGAAACTCCAAGTTTTAGCCCAAATTTCCTGTAGAGCTTCTGTTGGGCAAAACAGGACCTGGTGGGTTGTGTGGAAGGTAGAAAGATGTACGTGGTTCAAAGGTAATTAGCCTTTTTTAACGATTAATACTGGGCGGTCAACATTTACAGAGCGTTCACGTGTCGGGGACGTTCTGTGAAGGTCAGGGCAGATGTGGCTGGCGTGTGCAGAGGGGCCTGGGCTGGGGCGCAGGGGACCTGCTGTGCTCCCCGCTGCCACCACCCTGCACGGAGACCCGGAGCGTTTCGGCTCCACGTCCTCTCGCCTTCCCTCCTGTGGGTTTAGCTTGGCACCTGCTTCCCCGTGATTTGTGTCTTATTACCCATCTGCACAGCGGTTAGCAAAAGGGAGCCTTGGCCTGGGTCGAAGGCCTTTAAGCGATGTAGTTGTACGAGTAATTAAAAAAGAAAGAGAGAAATTGTTTTTCCTTTTTCCAAATGGGAAGAATGAA